AAGCGCTGTTCGATAATCCGATACGCGAGGCTCATCGAATGTGGCAGTTAGCTCTCTTCGAATGTAAAAGCTTATTGTACGACAGGAATTGTAAACCTTAAGAAAAGCGAAGATACGTAGAAAAGATGATTCACTCTATCTCTCGCGCGAAAAAAGTTGCTGTGAAGTGATAAAAGACAAGAGAAAAGTTGGTAATTAACGGATCGATGGAAATGATCGTAATAATTGACGAGCAAATACGAACAGCTAGCGAAAAAGCGTCTCGAGTCACGTGTCGCGTCCGTTGATTTAGCATTTTGCCAACGTTCGCTCGCGATCGAGATGAATCGCGTTGCATTCTTAACAACAGCCTTGAAACCTACACGCGTAAAAAAAAATCTCGATGTGGAGTTAGGCAAACGAGTTTCTAAGAAATTTATCGTATTCCTTATTTGGATCTGCTCAGGGAACAGTAGAACACTGATTGGGAGCGTTGTGCTCGTATTTCGCGATATTTCAACTATATGATACTATATGAGACGAGAGGAGGATGGCGCTCGCTTCGACGAGAAAAATCTGTACTTGCCTCGCGTTCGTAAAACTATTACGTTCAACCTATATCTTTCACCTATCGAAAGAGGCCTTGATGCTTCTTTTAAATGCAGAGATACATAGAGATGAACTTAATTATTCTTAAGTTTATCGCGAGTTATAAAAATTGATAAAAAAAATCTAAATCGTTTTAACTTCCGATTTAACTCGATATGCCGACTAATTTGAATAAAATTCTCCGTTTAAAAAAGAATAGAGTCTACGAAAACGATGGCGTCCTCGAAAGGAACTACGTAATTATTTCTTCACTGGCATAGTTTCCTCTCTCTCTCTCTCTCTCTCTCTCTCTCTCTCTCTCTCTCTCTCTCTCTCTTTTTCTTTTCATTCTTGTTTTCCGTAGCTCTCGATGCCCGCGTTAGTCTTCCATTAACGCTCATTAACATGCCGCGTGCAGTTTTAACTGGAACATCGATTCCGACCCGCTGGCACCGAACCCTCCCTCTCTCTATCTCGTTGCGTTTTTAAACGAGAGAATGGGGAAACAACTGGGGAAATCGGCCGTTGCTTATACATCCATCTCTCCCCTCTCTTTCCTCTTTCCTCTTTCCTTTATTCTCGATAAATTCGTCCTACAGATTGAAATCACACGTTCGGTTTTTCGAAAAGAGACTCGCGGCGGCCTTACGAATACGAACGGATTCGATATTTTTCTCGAATCTGGAAAATCGTGGAAAATAAAAGCACGATAATCTCTAAGTAATCTCCGTTACGGTTTAATTCTTGCACGATTCGACGGCATTAAATTTACGGCTTTTAGAAAATCGTAGCGCGACCGCGTTCACCCAGTTTAACGACACGGTCGGTTATAATGGTAAACTCGTTTATCGCCTAAATACACGCGCTACGGATGATGGAATTAATGCGGAAGGCAACATTCCGGTAATAAGCGGAACGCACTTCTGCCCAAGGTAAATCGTGGGAGAAAGTGGCGCGATTATCGCGATTAACGCGGCTCAATTTCAATTTCGATCGGGTAATAAGGATGATTAATCAAAACGCGGGGAACGAGATTGGCCGAAATTAATGGCCGGTAATTATAAAACAATCGAATCGCGATCGAGAATATGTTATATACGTATTTATTTGCATTTTCTATCGAAAATTGTCCCGTTTTCTCCAACATAAGCGCGTTTCCATCGGTTCGAAAAAAGTCAAGTTTCGTGAATTTTAAAAATTCCTTCAAATGGAAAATAAACAGAAGAATGAAAAATTGTGCGAAAAGAAACACAAGAGGTTGCAGGATATCATATATTATTTATAACGTTCGTTTCGCAAATTGAAGCAATATTTTCACGATGATATTATCGGGATATGTGTGTGTGTGTGTGTGTGTGTGTGTGTGTGTGTGTGTGTGTGTGTGTGTGTGTGTGTGTGTGTGTGTGTACGTGCGCGCGCGCGCACGCGGTCTCCAACGTTTGAAATTCCCGAAAGGAAATCGTTTTCATAAAACAGACTGATTCAATTTCACGGTGAAACGAAACTTTTTTGATTCGCGGATAGAATTTTAACAAGAGTTGGTACACCGACCGCTGATTAATTTGAATACTTTGAATTCGGTTTTTTCGATTCGGTTCGATGAGGAATAAAATTTAATTCGGTGTGAAAAAAAAAAAAAAAGGAAATCCGAATTTCAAGAATTTCTCTCCGCGCAAGAAGGTAATGATGATAATTCGATATTGTGTCTTATTTCATTGTGTGTGTTCGACTAAGTTCGATTCGGTTTACAACAATCAATTGTGTGTCGATAACACTTGTTCTTGATCGGTCGGTGATACGCAATTATAAGAGATATCTCTAGTACTCAACAAATAGACCGAGCGAAAACATTGGAAGGACAAGTTTTTAAAAAACTTTATCTCGCTCCTGAAAACGAAATTACCAATTTGCAGAGTTCCCCGTGGATTCGAGATACCGATCGGCCGCGATTTAACGACAAAGAGGGACCCCAATATAAAAAACACAATTTATTTGGACTTTCGATACGATACAAAAAAAAGTCAAATTCCAGGAATCTCGATGAAACGTGCGAACGTTGAAATTTTTATATCTATGAATGAACGATGAAAATAACAAAAGCGGAGGAAAAAAAGAAAAAAAGAAAAAGCGGATAATTTCGATAAAACGAATTCATCGTGAAGGATTTTGATTGGCAGTCTCGATAAACTTGGACTCGAGATTCGATGAGGACGAGGAAAAGGAGGGGGAGGGGAGGGGGAAAGAGAGAGAGAGAGAGAGAGAGAGAGCGTGTTGTGTTGGATTGTAAAAGTGATTTCGTTACCTGCGAAAAGAACAACGTCGCTTTTGGTCTTTGACCGAACGAAATTCGGGGAACATCTGCTGCTTCGATTCATTCCAGGTGCGCTTAAATTTGTCAGAATAGGAAGCGGGAAGACCGAGGCGGATCGAGAAGAATGGAGACCGAGGCAGTCAGTTGGAGGAAAGAAGGATGACGGGGTTGCGAGGTCGAATCGTTTTAAAGAGGGAAGCAATGCCGTTCGAAGAAGGAAAAGTATAGGTCCGGTTGTGGTCGGAGACAATGGCGGGGGGAGGGAGGAGCGGGGGGGGGGGGGGTCCGAAGCACGCAACGCGAACAGATCGCATTGCACAATGAAGCAAAAGCAATTATGAAGCAAAGCGTTACTCGTGAACGCGTTGGGAAACCAATGCGCAAGGATTATTGCATTTATCCGTGATGCAACGTTGTTTAATTATGTGTTTAAATAGAGATACGCGCATGTTTACCGGTACACGAAAACCCTCCTCTTGTTACCAACACACTCGAACGATTTGAACGGAAATGCAAGTTGTTGCTATTCTTTTACACGATACATGACGAGATGCGCAATGGTTTGAAATCGCATCATCTAGCTCGACAAAGATTAGAAAAAGCCTACTCGAACGATTCGATAACGATGCATCGCTTGTTTTTTTTCTTTACTTGTCGTTAAGTAACGATCGTATTTATCTTTATATATGCTCGTGTATATCTTTGAAAAAGTTGAAACGTTAAATCTAACTCCCTGGTACTGTATATATGTTATTTTCTTGAAAAAGTTTTCACTTCATGGGTCCCATTTGCAGAGAGCAACGAGGTCGTTGAACGGTGGATAAAAATTAACGAATCTTTTCCCCCGAAGTTTACGCGTGCCGTGAATTTAATATTTAATACGCGTAAAAGGGTGCACACGTACACGCGTGAATTCAAAGTGATGAAAATTTTAATTACGTGCACGAATCTGACGAATAACACGAGAATGTGTGAACGCGATTCGTGGTCGAATATTATTTTAATTAAAATATTGTCTGTCATTTTTCGTTCGACTGGTTTAAACTCGATTTAGGATTTTAACGTTTAACGCTTAGATACAGGAATAGATTTTCAGCGATTTTTTAATTTTAATAAATTACTACATAGTTATTTTTCTATATTTTTTTTTTATAACTTTTTCTCATTTTTATCGTATTGGGGGGCTGGTTATATTTGAAATCACGAAATAACTACGAGTTTACATAACGAACGACCAGTTTGTTAGAAAATGGCTGTCGGCGATTAGGAAAATCGTGTTCGAGATGGGGCACCGCGGTTTATCAACGAGTGCGATTTATCAACGTTCGAGAGAACGGAGATTAGCTTCCTTACCGATAACACGGAATCTTGTGATGAGACTGCTTCTCTTTCTCCTCGAAAAAAAGTAATTTAAACCTTTCCTCGATCCGATCTTTGTCATTTGTCGCATGAAAAAATCTTTTGAAACCGTTTGTGTTTGAACTAATCCTCCTCAGTTTCCTGTGTGCATTTGGTTTCAATGCAATCTTCTACATAATTAATGTACGATAAATGTATAAATTTTACGAGCCATGATTCCGCCAATAACTATCGATAAAAGGAAAATCTCTCTTCTATCGTGAACTCGCCGTAATGAGACAAGTATTGATCGATTATTAAAAATATTAAGAGTGCGATGACTTTGGACCGAAAATATTAATCGATATTAATCAATGTGATAATCAATTATGATATTAAACGATGAAAGAATGCAAGTGAAAAATACGATTCAAATCAATCGTAGAAATAACGCGCGAAAAGATCAATTTTTCGTAAAACAGCATAATTTTTTTCTATTACTTTTTGCGTGATATGCTTTATCTCGAATACTATGAAACGACATTAATCTTTTCGCAATGAGTAATCGAAATTGAGTGAGACGGAAAAGAAAAGGTTAAATGAATAGAATAGAAAATAAACAGATAATACCAAGTACCTATTAATGTGTATATATATATATTATGTATATATAATTATATCTTTCAAATTTAACAGCTAACAATCCATTCTTTCATACTCAAAACAAATGCAAGGCTACATTGACAAAATAAATAAATCGACAAAATAGGAAAATTTCGCTTACCTGTCTTTCTATCGCGCCATCCAGAGCTGTTGCAAAATAATTGCATGTCCGTAAACTGATTCACTTCTTTCTAGTAATTTCCTCTTATTTTTTTTCTTTTTGTTGTGTTCAATAGTTTTACAATATCGCGTTGAAACAATCGCAAGAATGCTGTCTTTTTAAAAACGATATCATTTTGCACATACATATGTATAATAAAAAGGTATCATTCGCGAAAACGCATACGAACACCACAGCGCACGAGCGATCAAAGGGACGATCGTCAAAACAGCGCGTATCCTTGCTCGGCGAGAAGCAGGTTTCACTACATCGTTATTACTATTCTGACGGCCGTTTCCGAGAAACTGCTCTTCCAGAGTTCCTGCTAGAATGGTTTTTACCGTTCTCACATGACTAACAGGTTGGCCGTGAACGCCGTTCGAAACTTTCGTCGATACACTTTCCACTAAATATGCTATTCAACTGCTTTCTTTTAGAACGTAATAAAACAATTAAATGAACTAGAAAAGAATAAATAAACAAAGGAGAAAACAAAAACAACAATGATATTATCAAAAAACTTGTAATATATCCATATTTCTTCGTAACTTGAAAAACAAAATTGCAACTTTGCAACTTTCTATTGTTGGCTTTGTTGTTTCTCGTCCATATTCGCCTTTAGGCTCAAAGGGTCGAACAGATATGTCCGATTTCCTAATAATTCCCGCGTAAACAAATTAGACGATTACTCTTTACGCTCTTTTCAATTATTTCTAAAATGATCTTAAAGAGTCTCGAAACTATGTGTTAATACAAAATTTGGAGGAATGAACCATTAAAAAATTAAGGGAAAAATCGTGAAGAAAAAGGACGCGGCATTTAACGCGATGTTACTTGCACGGCGTCTCGCACTCGACTGCGAGGTCGCTCGTTCAAACCGAAAACCGATTTAAAGCTGAAGCTTAGACTGCCGCCAAGCGGTATCTTGAACAGGACCGATTTTCTTCTCAGTTTTCATAATTATGCTGAAATTGCAAGCATACTTTATACTATGAATAAAAATTGACAAGTAATTAAGTTTCTAAATGACAGTATAGTACAGGACAAAAGAAATTAACTGCTTGATATATCAGCATCAATCATAAAAGGAATTTATGACTAATTTTTCGAAGATCAACATCGATTGTATGTAAAAACTTTCAGTACTTAAATGAAATAATAGAATCGATAAACATCAATTTCGTAATCAGATTTGCTTTTTATGTTTCAAGATTGGTATAAACTAAATATATATTATTTTAAGTATTTTTCTATATCAAAGTAAAGATTGTTGTAATCGATGACACATACATTTTTTGATGCAATCGCAATTAACGATATCTTTTTATTTTATATCTATTAGAATTTTTCTTGAAAAATATTGACAAAGATTTTATCATTGTTATCTGTCCGATCCATTGTTATACGTTTTGTAAATGTTTTAATAATTTAATTTAATTAAATATTTTATTTTTTCTAAAGATTGATATATTGTTTAAATTTTAAATTGTTTAAATATCTAGATTTAATTAATGCAATGATAGGCATTACTAATACTTCTTTTTTTCATTAGTTTTTAATGAAAAAACATATATATATATATAAATATATAGATGTATAGAAATATGAATATACCTGTAACTTTCATGTCATGTTCAAAAGGTCTGTATCCCTCTAACAGCCCCCTCGGCAGTCTATTGTTCATTATCTCTTTTTAAGCGTAGGGACCGATCTTATACATATATTTTCGAGGGGTTCAGAACTTCAAACTATAATAGTATGAAATATGTTGTTCGAAATACTTGGAATATATATTATTATATATATTATATTATATATATTATTTTTTTCTTTTTTAAATATTCTATAATTATGTAAAATATTGGAAATAAATAAAAAAAAAAATAATAGTAAAAACAAGTTAAAATTTTTTTGCAAACATTTTTTCTATTTTCGAAAGCTTCTGAAAAAATTAAATAATGATTAAAAGTTTGATTAAATTGATATATGATTAAATTTTCATCAATCAAGCTATAAAATTTTAAATAAAATATCTTTACATAATATCAAAGTATTACTCTTATAATATTATATTTTGTATGTTCTATATTTTATATTAAAGATATAGTATTATTATATATTTTTTACTAATTATAAATATAATATTATTATGTTATAATTTGTCATTAAAATTTCTAATAAAATTTACGAAGACTAATTACAATTAATTTATACATATTTATAGCATTTTTTTAAAATAAATAATAAATAATAAATAATTTTTAATAAATAATAGATTTTATAATTAGGAGAATTAAAAAAAATTTGAAATTATACTACATTTCATTATATATATTACAATATAATTTTTACATAATAACTTCACTAAAATAATGAATATTATTTAATATAAGCCAATATGCTTTTATTTATCTGGAATGGATCCCAAATCCTATAAAAAATAAAATAATTATATTAAAAATCTTTTTTAATATTTTTATGTTTACATTTTTATTTTTATGTTTACATTAATTAAATTTAAAATTATTAATTATAATAATATATTATTATAATTAAGAAAGATTATGAATTATTACATAATTATATTTCTATTTACCTTAAAATTCCAGTACTTATTATCACCTAATTCATAGTCTCTAGTATATCCTATTAATTCTAAATGAGTATTATAGAATCTTTTTTGCTTCTGTAATAAAATATAGAAAAATTAGCGAAGAAAAAAAGTGGTAGAAAAATTTATATAAATTTTAATAAATAAATTTAAACAAATAATACATATATAATAATATATTTATAACATCATTTATTGTATAAAAATTTATATAAAAACAAAATTTAATTTTAAAAAAAGAAAATAATAGTATTGTTCAAATAGTAATCTTCTTTATTTTATATATTATCTTTATCATATTTTTTATATTATCTTCATTTATAATTTTAATTAATATTTCAATATATTTAAATAATATTTACATGTTATATTGAGGTTATGTTAGAAAAATTACTTACATGTCCATCAATAAAATTATTTATATATGGTGCTATATACGCTGGTAATGTCGAACATACTGCTATTATAATTATTGGTGCTAAAGTTATATACCACATTTTAATAAATTTCTTGATCTAAATAATAATGTAATAAACTATCCTCAATAATTACGTCACTTTCTGCCAAATCGATATAATGCATATAACACGTAGTATATACAGAATACAATCTTTAATTATATTTATTATATGAATTTGAATAAAAAGTTTCATATATTATTTATTTTCGATTTAGATATTAAAAAACTAAAACTTTCAAAAATAATAAAACATAGTTATAAAGAATAAAAGTACATAAAAATAAAATAAATAAAAGAATAAAATTCTTAATTCAATTAAAAAAAATTTATTGAAATAAATATATCTCATTTAAAAATCATATATCAAAATAAATATTCGATACATTTTTTTTATAACGTTAAATTATCATGTATTTAATTGTATACTTTAAAATATTTAAAATATATACACTTATGCTGTATTTACATGAATATTTACATATGTATCCACAAATACAATTTAATCATAGAAAATACAAAAAAAAATATAAATTGAATATAATTTATATAATGAATTTAATGTCAAATTAAAAATTATATTTATAAATTAAAATAAATTATTTATGTCAATGAAATTGTATCATATAGTTACTGAATTTATAAGATAAGCAAAAAAGTTCAAATAATTCTTTGAAACGAACGAAAGGTTAAATATATAAAATCTTTTAGTACTTCTAATACTTTTTTTTGTTTAATATTTTAATTAAAATTACCTTTTTTAATTTCAATTTTATTTTTAGTGAATAATATGCTATGAAATTTAAAATTGTTTTATTTAAATCTATTTAAAAGATTTAGAAGCAACGGCGGTTAAAAGTTTTAAAAAGTATTGTCGAATACGTGGTATGTAATAATAAGATTTAATAATTTTTGTTAAATACAATCAAAAAATTTATATTAATACTTTCCAATATTATAATAATCATAAATTATTTTAAATAAATTTTTAATAATACTTTACTATATAAATCTTATTTACTATGTAAAATCCTGATATGTTATCATAAATATCGTAACGTAATTTGATATAAAAATAAATGATATAAAAAATAATTTGATATAAAATACTTATATTTATTTATAATATTCAGATTTAATAAATTTTTTCATCTTACTTTTATTTTATTCAAATTATTTTCTTATTACGATTTAGTTTTGATTATTTTATTTAATAAAATGGTAAATATTCTGTTTATTACAATAATAAAATAATTTTTAACAATTAAATATTTTTTTAATATATTAAATTAATTAAATAATTTAGAAACAAATATAATTTTATATTGCAGAAGAATTTGAAAAGAAAATTTAAACCACCAAAGATGCTGCTCAGATTATATTCTCTGGTTATTTTAATAGTAGATCTTGTGACACTTTTATTTGGAATATTTTTTGCTATTTTAATTGCATTATATAGAATATTTAGACCTCCTCCTTTAAAAAGTCTTCGTGGAGAAGTTGCAATGGTAATATAATTATATAATTTCAATTATAAAAGAATTTATTAAATCTAAAAATTATTTTTTGATTTTAGGTTGTTGGTGCAGGACGAGGTATAGGTAGAGAATTAGCAATTCATTTATGTCAACTTGGAGTTAATGTTGCTTGTGTAGATATTAATATTGAAAATTGTAATAATACTGTACAGTTAGCATCTAAATCGTTAGGAATTGCTAAAGTATATATTTGTAATATAACACATAAAGATGAAGTAAGTATATCATTATAAATGTAACAATAAGTAAATATATAATATATTATATAATAAATATATTAAATTGATTTGATTGTAAATAAAACATAATAGGTAGCTCATACAGTGAATATTATTCAATCAGAATTAGGTGAAGTTACAATGCTTTTCCATTGCTGCAGTATACCAAGCCCTAGAGCATTAGTTCAAGATCCACCAGAAATAAGACATACAATTGATTTGACTATCCTGAGTCATTTCTGGGTAAATATTACTTGAATAATAAATAATTTATTAATGAATTTTTATATAAAATCTTTTTTTAGTTATTAGATACAGTTTTACCATGTATGGAGCGTGTTGGTAAAGGTCATATAGTGGTTATGTCATCTGTGGCTGGTCTTTCTGGTGCTGCCACAGGAGGGAAAAGAGTTTCTTTATCCACTGCACAGTTTGCAGTTCAAGGATTAGCTGAGTCATTACATACGGAGTTAAGACATTCAAACAGTAATATTATAATTTCTTTAGTCCATGTTTATCCATTTATTGTAGGTGCTGAAGTAGCAAAAGATATTCGTTTTAGGTAAGTAATCAAATAACGGTATTTTATTTTTATCGGAAATTTATTTTTTATAATTTTTAAAGAATACCAAGTTATTTTGGCACAATGCCTGCCGCGGAAGCAGCTAAACAAATTTTAGATGGAGTTCGTCGAAATTATGCGGAATTTAGTGTACCTGGATATTTGCTTTACTTAGGACATATTTTTAGGTAAATTTATTATTAATGTTACTAAATATATAATATTTTTTTTCTTATTCTTAATATTTAATTTAATTTTCTTATTAATTAATATTTTATGTATTTAGAATACTTCCAAAGAAGGCCTCGTTTATGTTACGCGATTTACTAGATACCGGCGTTGACTTTGGATGAAAATCAAGTTTCCTAATTATGAGAGAATGTATTTTTATTATAAAATTATAATATACATTGCAAAATAATGCATGAAAAAACTGTTGCTAAGTTTTTACAATAATATACAAGAGAATTTTAAAATGTATTGAAAAATGAATACTTTATTTAGTTTTGTATATACTTTGATCTTTGAAATGTCTTTCAATAAAGATCAACAAAATTTGTAACTTGTTTTATAATTTTTGTATAAAATTTCATTTTTATATATTTTAACGTTTGTAAAAATAAAATAATATAATATATTATTTTATAAATAATACTAATTTATAAATAAATAATCATACGTGTTGCGCATAAAATATTATGGCGCAATTGAAATATTAAAAGTTTCTTACGCTCTTATGTTTTAAAATGAGTTTTTATACTTACATTTTGCGACATGAAATGAAACATTCGCACGTGATGTAAGTATTCTGTGAAATGAATGAAAAATATTATACACGTGCTATTTACATGTAAAAATAATCTATATACACAGTATCAATATTATAACGATTTGATAGCAAAATATTTGATGCACAAGCACACACGTGAGCGAGTGCACGTATATAAATAGAAAAAACTATATAAATATGTTCAAATTTTTAATATTATAAATATTTATATATCTAAATTGTAACTATATATTTGTATTAGATTTTGAACTCGTTTATCATAATTTATGAAAATAATCGTATTGATAAATGTATTGATAAATGAATTTAAATTTTCAATTATTAATAATAATATAGTCATTTGACTTTTTTTATGAAAATGAAAATATCGAAAAAAATTATTTAATTTTTGTTTTGTAAAATTGGAAATTATCATTTATCAGAAAATAAATGAAAATATACTATATAATGAAGATAACATGTATATACATTTATATGCAGACAAAGTTCTATTTACAAAATAGAACGAAATAAGGATTTGTCATAGCTATAAAATTAATCGAATTTTCAGCAAATTCTGAATAAGAAATATTTACATTTCATATTTGATTTGGTAAATACGTGGATCTAACGTTTCAGATTACTGAATATAATGCGAATAAAAAAATAATTAATAATTTACAAGGTAAATTCGTTAAAGTTGGGACAATCTGTTGATGATGATTCAAATCCCAACACTGGAATGAGTTTATGCTAATCTAAACCAGGAGGAGCTGGTTCTGAAACATCAGTTTCTATTGTATCTGGTTTTTGTTCAATCGGATAATCACCGGGTGGTGCCTGCAAGAAAGTCAAGGAAAAACTATTTGGATCAGTTCATATATTTATTATTTTTATGATAGTATAAAAATCAATTCTTTATATACAGGTATTTTTACTCACAATATCAAATTCATCATGCATGTCACAAGGTGATTTACCCTGAATAACATCCATTATCGACTGCGGAATGTGCGCTTTCTGAAATATTACATTTTTATATTGAATTCTTTTGATTTTTAGTGGAATAAAATCAACAATATATATTATTTTTATATAAATAAAATATGTTATTGAAAAATTACCTGATTTTCAGCAAAGGCTTCGACATGTGCTAGTAAAGGTGATCGTAAATTGCTTGCCATTTTTAACGCTTCGGCTAACTGTGTTGGAGGAAGCTGTAAAATAACTGCAAAACTTTGTGGCTGCGTGCGTTCACAACATTTTACGAAACCTTCCCAAACTTTTGGCTGTTTCCAAACTTGCTTGAGAATTAACCGCTGAAGTATATTCATAACAAATCCACTTAATCTAGGATATAATGCTAAACTTTGTATCACTGTACGCATGAGTAATGTTGGAAGCGGTGTCATCTCCATAAGATGTTGCATTACAACAGCTACAGTTTCTTGCGTATATATTTGTTTTTCCGCAAAACATAAAGACGTAGCTGTAAATTGATATTACAATTTTGAATAAAAAATAGAAATAAGATTATGTGGGATCAAATAAACAAATTTGATATATTATACCTTTTATAATTGTTTTTAATTCTGCTTTACTTGGATCTATATTATGCAACGCTATTAACAATTCAGCAGGTGTGATAGGAGATGTATGAGGTACACCACTTTCGTTATTATGAGTACCTAACAATCTATTGAATACCTATAAAAAAAAATAAAATATTAATAATATAACATGATTTTAAATTTAGATTATATTATTTTAATAATATTATATTATTATTTACTTCTTTAACAACAATAGGATTTAATTTTATGAGTTTCGGAAGAGCGGCTATTACTTCTTTTTTTGTTAAACCATTTAAGACTGGTATTAAGAATCGAACGTCTGAAACTCTAGTCTGATAAAGTTCTCGTACCCTTGATACTAATTCCACGCTTGGTGCAGCTAAAAATGAAAGAATATTATATTGATATTATATATAAAAATAATAAAAGCAAATATAAAATTATAAATTTATAATACATTTTTCTGTAAGAATATGAATAATTCTTGTAACTAGTGTTTCAGCGCCTTTAGGACAATTTTCAACTAATGCCAACAATTGTGGACTACCCATTCCTAAAGATCTTACAGGTCCTTCTACTAATCGAAGAACAATACGTTTGACATCTGCACTCATTGATGTATAAACTCTTGCCAATCTAGAAAAATAATATTGGTAGATATTAGTATAATTATTATATGCTTTTGAAAAAAATAACTTACTCATGAATTAAGTCTTGATGTTCACTCAACAGAGCAAGATATAATCCAAGGCAAGCTCTTGTAGTTGATTCAGTCCATTGGGATTCTACTTGTGGCCTACCTCTATCTTGTCCGAAAACGATTTCAGGAGGTATATGAAGTCGTAAGAAACCTAAATAAAGAACTGCATACTCTTCTATGAGTTTACTTAATTCAGGACGACTATACAGTTGACAAACTAATTGTATAGCAGCTTCCCTTATCTATTTATAAACATAAAATTAAAATATTTAAAATAAACTTATATAACATATTTGAATTATGTAATCAAATAATTATAAATTACCGTATTATTTTCGTGACCAGTATGACATAATAATACATTTAGAAAAACTAATTGTTTTGTTGGTCTACGAATAACCATCTCTTTCAATAATTGCAATGGTACCAATCCTCTTGTTTCATCAGAAGATACCATTTTTAAAGCTTCAACAGCATCTTCGGTAATTAAAGGTGCTTCCAAGTATAGCCTTTCCAAAATATATATATATACATATATTTAAAATGACATATATAATTCTTCATAGAATTTATTTATTACCTATATAATAATGTATCACGATCTTTGCCTTGAACTAAATCTATTGCAGATACTAAAGTACATAATAAAAAGTTATAAGCCTGATGTGGAGCTTCTTGAGGTTTTGTACATAATGTAGTTCGCCTTTGAAAACCTTGAAGCAATGCATATTCTTCATATAACCAACCTAAAGCTAAATCTAAACGGTTTCTCATATCATCAGTAATATAATGTAATACTGCCTCTTTAATGTATGGATTAAATGTTGCAGCTAGAGTAGTTAAAATTTTTGATCTAAAGAAAAATAAAAAAAAAGAAAATATTTTATATTAATTAATAATATTTTTAAAGAAATCAATAATTTATAAAATGATCTACCTTATGGCTGCCACACCACCAAACACAGCTGTTTTCTCAGAAAGTAAAATTCGATTCACAGCCATCAATAACATTTTTTCTTTTACTTCTTTTGACAATGGTTTTGTAACTTCAGACAATTTTAAAGCTTTTAAACGAGTTCTTGTTTTTGCTAATGATTTTTCATGTGCTTCTAGAGATGCCCTTGCTTCTTTCTCTTTTTCTCTATCTTTTTCACGTTTTCGTTCTCGTTTAGCTTCCGCTACGCTAATAGTTGGATTTTTTACTAAGTCTTCCATCACGGCATCTTCATCTTTAGCATCCTTTTTTTTCTTCGTTTTAGCTTGCTTTATTTGCGTTGCTAATAATTTAGCAATTGTCTGCCGCTGAATATTTATATCGGTCGTTGAAGTAGGCTGATATTCTCTTTGAAAGATAGCTGTCATTGTGTCTGGAACCCATGCCTGTTAAAAAAATGTATTTAATAAAAAAAAAAAATAAATAGTTATCAATAAAAAAATTAGTCATTTTATATAAAAATTTATCTACCATACTATCCATTACTAAATCTGTAGCAATTTCTACACTTAATCTTTCAGCAATAAAACTTTCTGAAAGTTCAATTAATTCTGATAATTTTGAAGTAGGAATTAAACTGGGTACAATTTCCGTTTCATCTGATACTAAAGAAGTTTCAATTTTTACACGTTTTGCTGCAGAAGATGCAGCTGCTTCCTAAAAATCATAAATTATTAATAATTAATAATTATCATAAGTTTATATAGTAAAAATTTATTTTTTGCACTTTTACTTGTTGACGTTTCTTTATACGCCGAATATCTTCTGGTTTTGGATAAGCTTTTAGAATTTCTTGTTCTTTTGCTCCTAACTGTGTTAATTGTTTAGCTATTATAGATACAAATTCTATGCTAGCTGGATGTTTCATCAATCCTAATAGAGTTAATTTTAATTGCTTTTGTACACTAGTTACTTGAGAATCGGATAATGTAGGTGGTAAATCGTGTTGTAATCTTTGTAATGCTAAAATATATATGATAAATTTTAATTTAATCAAATTATAATTTTAGTTGTAATAATAATTGTGGGAAAGTTGAAATTTAATTATTAATTTAATGATTAAATTGTACTATTCTTTCCCTTCTTTCTTTTTCTCTTTTGAAAGTAGTATTGTATACCTTGTATTACACCTGGCATGAATTGAGGTCTTGTTTTAGCAATCAATGCTAAAGATCCCATACATGTCATCAAATTAACACTACTAACATGTGGAGATCCATGAAATTTTATTAATAAATCCATTACATCATTAGCCTCTTCTTCTAATTTTCGTCTACGTGCTATTTTTAATGTTAATGGAATATCTTCTAAAGAAAAATCATCAGGTTTTTTAGGAATATCTGGATCAGGATATGTTTGTATTAAAACAACACCTTCAAGAAATTTCACAGCTTGTGTTCTAATACTGAATATGAAAAAGAAGAAATTATTATAAATTATTATAAATTAATTTTTAATCAAAATATATAAAATAAAATTTTAAGAATTTCTTTACCCATCATTATCACTGTCAATCATATTTATTATTTGAATTTTAAGAGCACTAAGTTGATTCCATGCTACTTCCATTTCTGCTGTAACTGTAGTAGCACTAGATATCCATTTCAAAGCAGCTCTTAATATTCTACCACTAGCTCTAAGAGCTCTTTTAGCAACAGCTGATGATTCATCAGAAACTAATCTTAAAAGTATTTGAACAACACGTGGAATTACTTCAGGTTGTTTTACTCTATAAATAAAGTATGATTATTTTATTCACAAATAATAATATTATAATATACATATGTATATATATTGTGTTATAAATTTCAAGAATGATTATTACCCAGCTTCTTCAATAAAACCTGTAATTGTTTTTCTAACTTCAGCATATCTATCTAAAGAAAACTGTAATGCTTCATCTAAATATAATGGAAGTAATTGTGGCTCCTTGTTAATTAAAATTTCTTGAACTTTACATAAATTTGTAACTTTTATATCTTCTCCTGGATTTAAAGAAGCTTCATTTAACCATTCAACTATCTGGAAGATGTAATTCAGATTACAATATTTATCTTTTTTTCTTGATAAAAATAATTAAAATTAAATAATTATGAATTTTTAATAAAATTTTTAATAAATTTCAGTTTTAGATACATACGCATTCGTATGTATAAACTTTTTTTTATTATTTGAGAAATTTATATTATTTTAAGAAAAAATAATTTGTGAGGTTAATGCACTGACCAAATCGCCTGGTCCTTTTTCTGGTTCTGATCTTCTATGTATTCGAGGATCCATCGTATATAATAATAATTAATAATAATAATTAATCTAAAGATAAAAGCGTAGGCAACAAATATTTGATAGTGAAATAACGGAGAATAATTAGACGAAGCTTCGATATGGTAGTTTATATGAATTCCTTACATAGATTTAGCCTACTTAAAAAACAGATATTTCTAATAATTTAGCAAAGACTCTATATTTTTTCATAAAATAATCTTTTTAGATATTATATTTAAAATTTTAGTGAATAAACAATAAAAGCTATCTTAACATACAATGAAATCGTTAGCGTTGCCATCTTGGCATTTTTCGTTGATCATTAAGCGCTATAATCGTTCCATGTTGATACACGAAGCGGGAATTTTAAGATATTTTCAATTACTTTTATTGTAAATATATTAATTAATATTGTATTTCATTTATATAGTTTTTAAATAAAATAATTAATTTTTATGTATATTTTTTAATATATTTTATAATAAGATTAATAAAATAAAAATCTATGTTGTAATAAAATTAATATTTCGTTCTTCATAATCTTCATTATATCTTTATATATACATGTATATATATATAAATTTATATTATAGATATATTAAATAAACGATATGGATATAATTTAAAAATATTTAATTTGCTCTATAATATGCTAAGTTTCAATATCATTTTAAATATAAAAATAACTTTAAAAATTATCAGAATATTTGCCGAGAGTCAAAGGTTAAGTAAACTTAATCGATACATATGTATTACACCTAATTCTACAGATAATAAAGGAAAAATTCGATTAAATGAAAAATATGGTTAGTTATCAAATCATAAAATTCATTTCAATATATGTTAATCAGTTAAATTTATATCATCTCTCAAGTAAGAGATATGTAATATAAGTTGTATATTTACACCGTTGACTGACATGATTTCAAGTTTCTACGAGAAAATTGTTGGTACATCTTTTACAGTGGAATCAAATCAGCAAAAAATTCTTTGCGTTGGAGTAAGCTGTTTAGATATTGTACAAACGTGCAAACAATATCCTGTAGAAGATTCTGATCAAAGGTAAAAGATATTTTTATATATGCGATTGCGCAGTATTATCCATTTACTAATCTGCTGATATTAATAATGATATAAATAATATGTTGCTGACTAAAATATAATAATTGTAATTAATATTTTTAATAATTTTATTATAATAAATAAAATTTAATTAATATTTTTGATATGTTCAGAATAAAATTTATTATTTTTTTATTTTATGTTTTATTTTGCAGATCTATAGAATGTAGATGGCAAAGAGGAGGTAATGCATCTAACTCTTGCACAGTTCTTTCTCAATTAGGAAGCTCATGTGAATTTTTTGGTACTTTAAGTGCTGAAGAACATTTAAATTTTTTGCAAAATGATATGCAAAAATATAATATTGACTTTTCTCACTGTCCTATGATAAAAAAAATAGGATGTCCTATATCTACTATTATTCTAAGTCTAAGCTCTGGTTCTCGTACGATTGTACATCATAATCCAAATTTACCAGAGTTAACATTAAAAAATTTTGAACAATTACATTTAGAAGATTATAGTTGGATTCATTTTGAGGGTAGAAATTTGAACGAAGTTTTATCTATGATGCAATGTGTGGAAAATTATAATAATATGCTGAATTATAGTCAAGATAACAAAGAGATAGATATAAATCAAGCACCAATTACTATCAGTGTAGAATTAGAAACTCCAAAACAAGAATTATTAGATTTATTACCTTATGTTGATCTAGTATTTATAGCTAAAGATTTTGCTCAAAGTAGAGGATATGAAAATATGAGTGAAACACTGAAAAATATTGGCGAAGAAGCTAAATCAGGGTATAAAAAAGTTACTTAAAAATTATATATAAAAAATAAGCATATCATCATAAAATTTTTTTTTTTAGAGCAACTCTTATATGTGCTTGGGGTGATAGAGGTGCTATGGCAAGAACTCCTGACAATATTATAGTACAATCACCTGCATTTCCACCACAAAAAGTTGTGGACACTTTAGGAGCTGGAGATACTTTCAATGCTGCAGTATTACATTTTTTAAATAAGGCAAAATTGGAATTTATCAGAAAACAAAATCTACAATCAAATGAAGCAACTAGTGTCTTACATACAGATATAAAAATGGAACGTAATATTAAAATGAATTATAATATTGAAAGTTTAGAATGTAGTCATACAGAATTTATTACACAAAATGTTTTGCAAGGAGCTGTGACTTTTGGTTGTCAAGTAGCTGGTACCAAAGTTGGCTTAAAGGGATATGATAAATTAGATGAAATTTTTAAAAATGCTTTATGTCAAATTAAATAAAATGTGATATAATATTATTATATTATAATATAATGAATTTTATATAAAATAATATTATGTACATATTTCAATGCTATATTAAAAGGCGCAAAAATAAATAAATTTTTTATCTATTTTCAAAATCAAATTTTTAAATTTAATTTAAACTTTAATATTTTTTAAATTTGTACTTTTATTATAATATATATAAATATACATATAATATAATTATTAAAAAATATATATAATAAAATATTATATAATATAAATATATATATAATATTTATCTAGATTTATAATCTATATTTAAATTTTCATACTATCATACATATATCTAACAGAATATAATTCAACAAGGCCCATTAGCTCAGTAGGTTAGAGCGTCGTGCTAATAACGCGAAGGTCGTGGGTTCGATCCCCCCATGGGCCATTTTTTTTGTACAAGTATCAAAAACATTTTTTTCAAAATCGATTGATAAACTTTAAGTATTTAAATATTTTAAATTCTTATTTTTGTTTTTTTATATGATAGAAAAGTCGAATTTTTTTTTATATTTTTAATAATATAAAATAAGTTTTATGCTATATCCACATATTAAAATTTGAAATATATTGAAATATTAAAGAGTTAAATTAAAAATAGAATGTAAGATTAAAATCTTAGAAGAATAATGAAAAATAATATTTAAAAATTTGACATTATGAAATGTGAATATAAAAAAAACTCTAATCTAAATTATTATGAAATGAAATAATAATTACTATTTGTAAATAATACAGTGCCACAAAAATAAATAGGTTCTTATTTTTCTATAATAACGATAAAATATACTGGCAAATAAACTGAGATCTACTCGTCGATACTCATTGCTCAGCGGACAATGTCGAATATTATAAGCGGATATCGATAACAATATTATAACATATTTAATTTATTATCAAAAAATTTTCTATTGTTAATAACTCATTATTTATTAAAAGTAATTTTATTAATTTTAAAAATAATTTATTATTTTTACTTTATTAAAATTTTATTAAAATTTTTAATTTTAATTAAATTACTTTTATATATACCAGAAAATACTACACTAATAATGATGAATTAATTTGATTTATAGATTTCTATCTTGTTGAATAAACTTTTTAAATATATAACTTTATATTATATATAATAATAATTGATATAGTTTTATTTATATAAATTATGAAAATACATAATTTTTACTGATGTGAAAAATATATATAAAAATAAATAAAATATGTGAAAAAATTTTTATTTTTAATTTTTGTGTCTAATAATTTATTATAATAATAATTGAAATAATTAATATACTTATATTTATATATTACATTGCAAATTAAAAATAGATTTACAATTTTTACGATCTATTAATATCGATTTGAAAATGATATTAAAATGGTAAGAAGATTTTAAAATCAAAAGTGAATTAATATATATATATAAAATTTAGAATGATGTGCGATATGATATTGATACTATTTGCATATATTTGTTAAATAAAAACGATCAATTAATCATCCGAAAATATATTGAATTAATATACAAATTAATTGATTATCACTCAATAAATACAAGTAGTTACAGTTGATTAAAAAAATTCAAAATTTATTTGTACTTTTCATAAATTATTGTATAACAATTTATAATATTTAAATGATTTTATAATCTTATATATATATTATATATAATAAAATATATGTGTAATAATGTTTAATATATAATAATGTCAATCTCATAGTTTTTTTTTAAATTTTTAATAATGAAATACGTAACAATTCAAATGTCGACAATATACTGCAGGCAACGTTCAACTCCCGGGCAGCCACCTGTCGCGCGCATGCGTATTCATAGTATAACACCTCTCTGATCATTTGAGTGTCAGTGTAAACCAAAATGGCGAGAGTAGTGATGGTTTGTGACAGCTCTCAGCCTGTTTCACTCATGTTTTCGAGTAGTTGAACGGGACGCGCGTGGTTATGTGATTCACGTGACTGATTTAAGTACGAAGGGTGAATGGAGAATAATGATTTATTCGTGGCAAACAGCAATACGCAATTTTTTTGGATCTTTCCAACTGGATCGACACCCTTCTATTTTCAATAGACAGTAGCGGGGTGACATTGACGTTACTCATTGAATTAAGTGCGTTTTCAATTATTCATAATCTGAATTTTTTTTTTGTTTTCTAACGTCAAATGTCTATCACCTATATTAATATGAACAACGGAGGAATATTCTGGGTGTGTATTGTCAATTGTTTGAAAACGAACATTAGAAAACAACATTAGAAAGAGAGATTGTTTGATAGTGTTGAGTATTATTGTTTCGCGGAAGTGTCACGAGGTGTGTATTGTTTCGAAAGTCTGATGTGAGTTCTGTGTCGTGCACGTTCAAACGCTTACGTTTTCAATCCCAGTCATAGGGACTATTCTGCGTGCGATATTTATTAATTATATCACTCGTTCTATTGCCACGGTGAGTCAATATTCTATCACGATGACATTAAACATCATGTAATATTTTCACACTCAAATTTCTGGCTCATTGACTTGTTAATAACTTTTCTTGATATTTATAAATTGTTTAACATTAGTTAATATAAAATGTCAGGGGTGATTGCCATTCATAAATATCTAATCAATGGATGGAATATTTTTATGATCATTATGTTCTCTATTGAAAAGATTGGATAGTGTCGGAAATTGTTTTGCAATATGTGCATTAAATAATCTTCCTTTTTTTTTCATCTTATATTTTAAGTAAAATATATAAGAAAAAGAAAAAAAAGTATTTATTATTTAAATGTTACATTGATTTTTTTTATATTTTTAATGAATAATTTATATATACACCTTTTATATCAAGTTTGAAAATTTTGTAAGTAATAGGTCCTGTGGCGCAACGGATAACGCGTCTGACTACGGATCAGAAGATTCCAGGTTCGAATCCTGGCAGGATCGGTTTTTTTTATTCATTGCATTAATTCATTTCTTATATATATATTTTTTTTTGTTTATTAAAAATGTACAAATAATAATTAAAAAGAATTTTTAATGATTGAAAGATATATGGCATAGTCTTATACATATTTGCATAAATATGATAAAAGTATTGGTATATATTTAATACTGAAATAAAATGTAAATAGGAACGAAGTTTTTAGCAATCATGAGCAACGAGTCCCTCAAGAATATCCAGGAATAGTACACATTCCAGACAGACCAGAACGATACCAATGCACTTTATTCTTTCTTTTGCATTCTTTACCTCGAAAGTTCACACGGAAGATAAACACAGTATGAAAAGTCTCAAATTTATAGAAATTGATTTACTCCTCAAATTTTATTTTAACTTAAAATTAAAATAAAATTATTTTAAATGTTTTAGAAAATTTCGTTGAATCTTTTATATCGAATCTAATTCTATATTCACGCAATCTATTGCACGATATCGAGTGAAAGCATTGGATTTTGTTCTATAATGTAACAAACTTTCCCTTTTTTTTCTTTTTTCTTTAAAATATATACTATAGATCATTATAGTAGATAAAATTTTCATCCATTATTCAAAATTTTTGAAAAGATTTTCAAAAAAAAATTACAATGAGAGATATTGTTTATTTTCTACATTTACATTCGTAATGAACATTTAAAAACTACGTTTTTTTTCATTCTAGATCGCACATTAGATTCTATTTTATTTTATGTGAATGTTTGTAACAATTTTTTACTAACGCTAATATACATATATCTATGCAAGATTACCGCTAACGAATGATTGTTAAGCCGATTAATTGCTATTCTGATGATTCTCTGTTCGAATTATCGCGTGTCGCGTGAGCAATTTACACAGCTTGGTCGACGTCGTATCTCATTCGTGGTCTCCCTCAAACTTCCGTTCGGGACATGAATTTTCAGGACAGGATATTCCCGTATTTCCTCTATTGTTCGATACAATATAAACTAATAGAACGAATCGCAATTTTCCTCTCTCTTCTTTCTCTATCTCTCTTAGTTCTTGTTTCTATTTTTTTCTTTCTCTCTCTTCATGACTAGCATGTTCGTTTCTTCCAACATTCACTTTTCATTAGTCTATGTTATGTTCGTAATAATTCGACACTTGTGTATACATATTACAGAAGCACAGCTATTTTCTTGTGATTTCGTTTTCATAACTTGTTTTATCCAAAGAAAAGTTTATGTAAGTTGAAAAATGTTGAATATTATTTTCATCCTGTTGCCATGAGTATATATATTATAATTATATAATTAAAATATTTTTATAATATTATTTAAATATGTATGTACATAATTTTTTGAAAATTGACATTATCAATTATTTAAATAAAAAAAATTCATTCTTTTACGTCACATCATCAATCTGTGGAAATTCACCGATTATAGCGCAGAGGGCATTGTCTTCTCTACTCGTGATCAGAGAATCCTCTTCGTTCAAGATGAGAATGCAAGTGAAAGGTTTATCTTTCCAACATGGACAATAAACAATAGCGTATAGAAGTGTATCGCAAAACCCCTATAGCATACGTATTCCTCTGCTTTCCCTCCTTATCGTCTTGAAATGTCGGTTGCTCGAAAGATAATTACTTAATCACGGTAACTCTATTAGTACTTACCTATCGTGCCATCACGTTGCCCTATCCACGTGCTTCGGCTTGTTTAGATTCTATGTTTCGCGATTTCGCGAAAAATTTTCCTTTCCATTTTAAGTTTTAAGTTAATCAAATGAATTCTTCCATTTTTCCTTTCTTTTTTGTATCTCCTTAATCGTTTTGTATTCAGTTTTCTTTATTTACTTTCTTTCTATTCCACTTTCTTCTGATTAAAAGATATTCACATTATGTTATTTACGAATTATAATATATCGAATGATATATAACAATACTAGTTGAAAGATAATCTGCAATTTAAAAAAAAAAGTGATCGCATGAAGAAAATTAAATGGATATGAAAAAAGAAAATTGACATGATAATTCTGTCTTTTGATAAATTTTCATGTTTTAAATGCATCGGTTTAATACCAATTTTTAAAATCAAAAAGTTACTAGTTTTTCTTCTATAGAAAAAAGAGAATTTATGAATTCAGGATCATATTGGTCATATTGGTCAATCTTGATTATCTTAGATAATCTCACTATATTTCTTTGGTACGTAATCGAATATTCTGACAAATTGCAATATATTTCGAAAAATAGATCGAAGAAAATTATCTCGAACGTTATTAGAAACTAATGACACAAATTATTTTCGATACAGAATATTATATACATATGCACATGTGTATTACGATTCATAATGCTTTTAATCCAATGTCACGTATCTTCTCTTATCGAGCATATTTTTGAAAAATACGTTACATATATTATATTATAATGCAAATTAAAAGAATTAATTACGTGATTAAACTTTAATTATATTTTATTTATATTTTATTTTGAACCTAATTTATATATATTGAACCTGAATTTAAAATAGAACAAAAAATTAAAAAAATGATAATAATATATTAAATAAAATATTATTTTATTTAAAAATGCTCAATCAAATCTTTTTTTTCTTCTACTTCAATCTTGATTAAAATTGTTGATAATAGTTAAATTATAAAAAGGATTAATCGATTTTAATAAAATATTTCAATAAATAGCGAGGAAAGCGAGTTTTTCCTTTCTTACGGGTTTTGCATGAACGCAAGCGTGACTGCCAGTTGCATTAGAAGCTTTCGCTTTTAGAAACATATGCATATATTAAAAGTTATTATCAAGTGACGACCGAAACCGCGTGTATCGCGGTCACGTAAATTATCAACGTTTTTATATGTATTTTCTTTAGTAAATCCTTCCAGGTATTCATCTTGCATGAATTGACTTTCAAAGATTCTCTAATTGCTTACAACAAAAATGTTATTAATATAAATATCAATAGTCATAATATATCATATATGTATGATAATGCATAATAACTTTCTTTCTCTATTATTTGCAATAAGTTTTAAGTTTTTAATTTCTAACTTTTTATTTGTTTTTTATTTAAACATCATTTTTTTCTGAACGTAATTCGATCAATGTTCTCGACATTTAGTTTTTGACAAAAACGAAATCGAACGATGAAACGCAAACGAAATGTGCAAAGCACAGAAGAAACAATTAACATGGTGGCGCTTCGTTAGTAACGGTCAGACGATTCGTTATTGTAGCAACCAATTATTACTGCACTGTTCTCTACTGTTGTTTCAGAGAACAAAGTTAAATTTACTTTTAATTGCGCATTGATCACGAGGACAAAGTTTGTTACCATAGTTGACCATTTCTTCGGAATTTTATCGGTACATTAACACTAATGATTTTTAGTTACTTAATCGTGAAAAGAATGACATCGAAAACTGCGAAATATCCGAACTCGATTTATGAAAGATTAGATTGGTCGAAAGTCTGATGACATCCATCAGATTAGATAAAAGTCACGTCGATAAATTCGATTGGGCAGTCGATTGAGAATAAAATTCCGTGAAAAGAGTGGCGCAAGAATACCTGGCACATGTGTAGTACATTGCAGAGAAAAAACGAGCGGTAGCCATGACTTTTGTTACTTGGATATTTCGATAGGAGGCGCGACTATTCCGCCATTAAACTTTCAGAAGAACGATCATTATATTTATTTCTCACCTGAAATTCTTCATTTAACAATAATACAGGCAAAATATAAATTTTAATCCTCGTTAGACCGGTTTCCGGCGATCGAATTTGTATTATCCCCGTCATGTGCAAATCTTATTACGAACTTCGGAAAATTGGATCAATTCGAGAATGCGTTCACTGTTCTAATTCGGAATTACAGTTTATCGAGTTATACACGTGCACCTGTCCGAAGAATCTCAACGAAGACTTTTAACCGAATCTTCATTTATCGCCATCTTTTATTCGTTACGATTAGAAAAATATAAATCATAGAAGAAAAGAAAAAGTAAGAACATGAAAAAAATGTGTTTCGTTCAACAAGTGAAAGCTTTTCGAACGACTTTGTAAAAGAAACGAGTCTGTTAGTGAACCAAAACGAATTTTACCAGTGTTGTTAGGAGAAGCGAAACAAGTGGCACGAAAGTGAAAATAAATATATATGGAACAGTGAGTCGAAAAGATTTGAAAAAACAAGCAAGTTTGAATTCCGAATGCATACATCAGAAGAAATATAATTCGAAACGAATAATTATTTTGAAATTTTCTCAAGACTCGAACGAACGTGAACCTGATTTACCTAGTTTTCTTAGTTTTGTAGCCGGAATTCTCCCATGATTTTATTCGGTTAAGTGATACTTAGATATTTGTTGATTAGATATTTAGATACTTTCGTTGATTATACAAAGATAAATTGTGAGAATTTCTTTTACGATGAAATAATTCAATGGTATATAGAATTCAATGATGGCTTTGAAGAATTTATAATGGTGAGGTTGTAGCGATAAAACTAAAATGCTTGCATTTGTATTTTCCTTTGTTTTTCCAGTAGAAAAAAACGAACAGAGACATATATTCGCAACGATAAAAGTCGCTCGTCTACATCGGGTCTAGTCATCTTTGGTACATGGTCTATATTCAATGCAGCTTTGAATATAGCAATAGCCTAGCGCGTATAGTACATTGACTATTGCAAAATATAAGTATATATTGTTACGAAATGAATTATATATAAAATATAATTAAACTGTATTGTATTACAAACAAGATAATAAGACAATTTTTAAATAAATGTAATAAGAGCAATGATAAAATTGAAGCTTTCATTTTATATTGAAATCCTTTTATTTACGAATTGTTAATGATAAAATTTTTTTACAATTTTTTTACCTATAAAAAATAATATCGTTTTGTTGATGTTTTAAACTGTGCGCGAATTTTTTTTAACAAATTCTTGTAGAACGACCTCAGCCATTTGATTCAATATCGATCGGCGAATCCCTTAGTAGAGAGAGTCTATGATTTGAAACCCGTTCTACTTGATCGCCAAGTCAGCCGAGACAGTTCGTTATTATGCAATCTGGTAATGCAAACAATCCAGTTGTCGCTTTTCTTTAGTCTGGTTATAGAGAGAAACGATCGTGTTTCTCTACGTGGATGCGATGGAAGAAGGGGGGGGGAAAAAAAACGTCCTCGAAATGGATACGAATCAAAGAAAATAAAGACGCGTTGACGTAATTATTTCGATCCTTTTCACAATTATTACGAAAACTTTCGAGTAATTTCTTATAGATGGGCGGAATCTGTAAAGAATCAACGATAAATAGATCGGTACGATTCGCACACAATCGTCGACCTACATACGGTTCGTGAACTTTTGTGCAACAATTATCCTGACCTACATGACCGCGAACGTGTTAACAATCACTTGTTGCGAACGGAACTCCCTGGAGAGGAAAAAGAAAAAGATATAATGCCATTTTTATTTTCCTTTCGTTCTAGACGAGGCGTTTGTTGACATTAGAAACATTGGAACGTTGACAAATGTATTGAGACGACAGATGGCAGGCGAAACAAGTGAGTACAGTCTCGGAAAAGAAGGTTATCCAAAGACGATTGAGAAACGTGATTAAAGAATAATTATGAGAGATTGCAATATTAATCGCAAAAATGAATCTTTGTTTGAAATGGAATGCTAATTAAGAAAGATAAAAAAAAGACTCGATCTTGTTGGATTAATCAGTACATAATTATTAGCTTCGAAAGCTGAAGTAATTGGGATTTAGCAAAGAAAAAAACATTTGTACAATTTTCTTTTTTGTCAATAAATATATATAGACATGTAATTGTTAAAAATTGAAAGAATTTTTCTATCTTAAATTCGAGCCCATTCGCGCAAAATTTAATCGAAGGTCAAACTTCCAAGTGAATAAATATGTAAAATGAATCAAGTAAGGTTAGAGGAAACGAGTTGTCGAGATGCGCTTACGCAACATCTTTTATTGCCAGCCAGCTCGAGGTTATACCGCTGAGAAAACCAATTTCCCTGATGCTTAACCACGCTTCGAATACCTCGTTATATCTTCCTCCTACGCTGGATCGAAATATTTTTTTTCCTCGAATATACGTATATATCATAAAACCATCACAATCTTTCGTCGGGAAGATCGCTTTGATCAGCTGATCGTTCATCTTTATCCATAAAGAAAGTAGGACGGACCGCTTGATTCCCCTCAAGTAATTGATGCTGAAAAATCAGATTTAATCGCGGCCGAATTAATAAACGACCACCAACAAAGCCGTGCACCGTGAACGAGAGCGCGTAAAATGCGATCTCAACAGCAAAGTCTTTTTTGGTCTAGAAACGAAGTGGTACTCGCGGAAGCGGCCTCCCCCCTCTTCTCACACAACTCGTTCGTTTCTCTATTGTGCCTCTCATTATCATCCGGGTACAGTTCTCGATATCGATAACGTAACGATCCGGATTACATGGGTTTAGCCAACTGCGTGATTCATTGGTACGTGGTTGGATATAGTCAACGACGATCGCCAGTTTCTCGCTGCACCCCGGTTCAAGAACTTGACCACCAGGCGTTTCATTCATCCAATTGACTCGCTTGACAAGGTCGCGCGCTCTTTAACACGATCATCTTGAATCTCGTACCCTCGCAACCGTGTGTCACATCAGTTTGCGTATATATATATACGAGTGCACTATTCAGACAAACGATAGGGATAATATTTTCATATATGTATATTTCGATCTTTTATTATTGCGCAACAGCAAAATTGTATACCGATTACCAATTTTTACCATATAAATCACAGAGTGGAACGTTTAACAGGCGGAAAGGAAGTAGTTACCAGTGGTTTGTTCCGGCGAATCTCAATATCAAGATTGGTTTAGGAGTTTGAATAAATTGTTGTTGGACGACGACACACGTTTGTGTCGCATCTCTCGTCGCGTGTCTGTCGCGGTGTGACGCATCGAGGTGCAACTGGTTACAGTCGGAAGAGCATGACCGGACTGTGCGAATAACTGTATCGGATATTTTTTTTTTGCTGCACTTTTCGCTTTGTCAACAGATTTAATCGAACCATGTTAAACTAACCCGCCGACGAGTTACGCGTATATTTCTAAATCCCGCCGATTTTTCACTCATAATGATAAAAATTATAGACGTAGAATCGTACGTTGCTCATTTTTTTTTTTTTTTTTAAATTTTTCCTTTCTTGTAAATGCAATATCTGTGAATCATCGATTCTACCTTTTAAAATTCTTTCATCCGTTTCTGGCGGTGAGTCACGTTTCGAAACGAATCCGAGCAACTGATTACTCATTCGAATATCCGATTTTCTGAACGAGCAGGTAAACGTGATTGTTCCGATGTGATTGTTCCGATGTGATATGTTCGAAGGATGATAACTCGTTGACTTTTTCTTCGATAAAAGGCCAGGTTTTTCATTCTTATTCTGGTTTAGAAATAAAAAAACGGGAAAAAACGATTATTCTTATTTATTATTCGATTGGAGAATGTCGTTAATTTTTCTCCCAATTGCCGATTATATAAAATTGGAGAGCATTCGTATCTCGGCGTTAACTCGAGCTCTAAATCAATCTTTTATGCGTTGTGCTCGAGTACATTCGAGCGGCACTTTGTCCACGTTGACGCCTGATATTTCTTCGTATACACGTGACTAATGGACCATTGTCTTGACAACGACGAGAGGATGAACCGAGTGAAAATTCGTTCGCTAGAAATAATTATCGGGGAGACGAAAAATTCTCAATAACTTAAAGAGAATTTGATTTAGATGTTTAATTTAGAAGGAAGATATTATCGTTACGATTCAAGGAAGATCTAATTTTTTTCGTCCCGACCATCTAATTTTTTTCCTTCCTCTTTTCTCTGTTCCAGGTACACGCAGATGACGCGATGACGCTGCATTGGTGGATGCACTGGTTCTGGGTTACCGCTCAATTTCTCGGTACGTTCTAAATGATTAAAGACATCTGGTACACATAACTTTCCGCCGAGTTCTTCCATCAACACGAGTTTTCCATTTGATTCCATAGATTCCAAGAATTATCTAACGCTTTGATTTTCAGTAATTTTAGGAAACCCAATGCCATCGAGCACGGTTGAGCCTCGTGGCCAGGTGCAACAAGATCGCCTGAACTCGGAATCGACGTCCAAAATTACCTCGATCGAGGCCGAGAGGAGCGAACCGCGACAGAGTTTTCGCGTGGCCAAAGCCATCGGTCTTCATCCATCCACGAACACGGCTGTAATGTTAGACAGGCAATCGAGTACGATTTCGACTCCTGTAGAAATGGTGGCGAGCGTGGTCGAAACGAGTACTAATCCTATGGAAGAGTATCACGGAAATGCGAGTAACGCGGTCAGTCTGGACTCGACGAAAAGTTTCACGTCTCAACGAGTCGCAGATACCGTGGACAGGATTCGTAATTCGGCGGTGAAAAAGGATAGTAAGATTACGTGGATCCTAACCACGAACAAAACCGGTGGTAGATCCAAGTATGAACAAGAAGAGAAAATGGATGAAAATGGGAATCGGAACGATACCACATTGGACCAAGTGGAGGATCTTACGGTACTACCTCTTCAGGAAGAGGTGTCTAGAATCAGGCTGGTACTGAATAAAACGAAATCCTCCTCGCTCTTATCTTCTTCCTCTTCTTCCTCTTTGTCCTCCTCTGCCGGTAATTCCGGTATCAAGACGTTCAATCGATCCGATGATGTCGAGATCAACGACGACGATGACTTTGTCGAGTCACAATTATTTGCCACAGCTGCGTCGATTCTTGAAGGTAATAAAATTTAATCAGAATAAAACGGAGATGGTATTATTTTCGAATTGAATTGAATTTCGAAAGAGCATTAAAAATTTATTTGGTGCGAATCTTATAGTTGGTGTGAGCGAACCTACGCGGCTGAGCAGAGCGCGAAGCGCGTTTCCCAAAGATTTCCAGAGGGATCAAGTACAGGAAGATCATCTTTCCGATTACAATGAGAGCAATAGCGAGAACTCGAAGCAAGAGAATACTTCGAGATCGACGGTAGACATTGCCGCTATTACCGGAAGTTGCCTAGCGACTGTAGTTTTACTCAGCACAATGGGTAGCCTTGGATTCATTATGTACAGGTAATTAAAATGATTGCTTAGCAGTTAAATGAAATTTCAACGTTACACAGAAAATTTAATTAAAGACGTAGGTATCTGAATCCGCCGCAAACGCTTAATAGCGACAAATGCAGTAATCCCGATAGTTCCGGTTATATCGATGATTCCACTATTCGCGTAAGTATCATAATACTTCATTCTATGTGTTAAATTGTTATTTCAAATAATGTTGAGACATTGTCGCTTAATATACGATATCTTGTTACAAATTATGATATATAATAAATGAGATAAAAAGTTTAAATGATTTTATATATTCTTATAGGATAATTCCGAAGAAATGTACAGTTTGGATAACGATTCGTTTTTAAATTCGTTAGAAGCAATGACAATACAGAATTATTGGACGGACAGTGTGAAGCATACGAAACTATGACAAAAGAAGATAATTCAACCCGGAAAGAGGATTGAAACGTTCAGTATTTCCGATGGTGAAGCGCACGAACAAGTATCGTTGTTGGAACAGTAGTACTTACACGACGAGTGCCCGGCGTTTTGTAATTAAATGCAAAGAGATTGAATTTATCGTAGTAATCGTATAGATATGCAGGAATTTTATTTTTTTTCGATTGAATCGTTAGCGATTTCGATGCAAGAATGAGCGAATAAAATATTTTAAACATTTTTGACGACTTTTTAGATAAATTTCGTCGGTTTTATAATTTCTTAAAAGAAACTGACGATACGTCAAAATTACAAGATTTGTGCGTGTATTATATTCGCGCCATATATCAAATACGCATATAAATTTGTGAATATTGAACGCATACGATATATAACGCAATATTTCACGCACATACTTGAATTTTGATTTTGTCATTCGTATTATTCCCACTATTTTTCTACTACAAATGCAATTGGCAATAGTTAAATTTAAACAAGACAGCGATATGGTCACTTTCATCGGATTAGTGACTGAGTAGTGCAATAAAATGTACTTTATGGATAATTATTGAAATATACTTTTTAGAAGAGTAAGTACAAATAAGGTCATTAATGTTTAACTAAATATATATTAAAAATACGAGACATAATTTAATAAATCTGAATTCTCATAAAATCAATTTCAGTATGATAAACAATTTCATTATTATTGAATATTTGTATTATTGAATTTTAATTTCTATAAATTGTACTTATATATATTAATCATTTTAATTTAAGATTCGATTTTAATATTTCTTATTATCTTTAAACTCTATTAAAAGATATACGGTTTTTTCTAATAGGATAATAGAAATCGAATTGCTCGCTTGCATACAATCAGCTTCAAATACTTTCAAGATAGAATCGGGCTAATAAAAAATCGGACCAAATACGTACTGTAGTTTGTAGCTTTATGCCTTTATAACATATCCAGCAAGAAGTAAGGAGATTTCATTCGTTTTTTTCACTTCACTCCAGCTTGTATATATGTACATGTATATGTACTATACAATTACGAATATATCTATGTATAGATATGCGAATTTTCTGACGGTTTCTCGAAACTTTCGAAATATAATTACGTTTTAGTAGAGGTTTGTTTGTTCAAATATATTTCTATACGAACCTTACATTAATGAAAAAAAGATTTATTGTGATAGATTATAGAATTTAATAAATGTAAAATTATCATAGATTTGCTTTATTATATATAATAACTGTGAATAAATCCTCACGTGTATTATTTTTACGCTTATTATATGTTATTATTATTATTATTATCGTCATCATTATTATTATTAAATATGAATTAATTAACTTTCCTTCTCTTTTGTTATACAATAAATTAAAATTTTTGTTATAATATTTTTTGCGTTCTTTTTGGTTTGTTTTTTTATCGTTAGATGATATATTTTATTTCTATGTGAGCCTACTTTTCTTGTATGGAATCCATCATACCGACGGATACATGAATGACTAAAGATAGATTCAGTTTTTTTTGCCAGCATGGCGCTTTATATATGTCACAGTTCTATATTTAATCTTGAACGGATCTTTGACACGAATATCATAAATATCTTACTTATTATATACTGTATATACATAAATAGAGTTAATTTATAATTTATATAGAATATAAACTATTACACGATATTTGATTTTTTATACAATATTTTATGAGTAATAATGGAACAGAGAATGCTCACTTTTTGGAAAATAAAAAAAAATATTTCTCAACGCGGAAGAAGTACTGTTATTTTTACTTTACGTATTTTCCTCGCAAAAGTATATATTTCGGCAAAACGGCTGATGACACATAGATGTCGCTATATAACAAACAATGGCTGTATTCTTATGTTGTTATTAATGACATAAACACATTGGTTGTACTTTTAATCCGGTATGCATCAGAATGAAAAGTATATACTGTCAATCAATTATATGCCAATAAACTTAATGTTTAAAGTCTATATTGCACACACGAAGTGATCTATAATAAATATTTATGGTTATACGACGCATGTTATTCAATATCAACTGTGATTTTTGATTCATATAATTAAAAGAAAATAAAAAAAAATATTTTTAACAAAAATCTAGAAAAATGCAGTGGCCATCCTTTACTCTTATATTAACGGAATTATTTTTAGTTTATATAATTTATTCGATTTATAATTTATCTTTATTGTTTGTGGCACCAGCTTGTGAAGACAACAAATTATGCTTAACATCATATTTGAATCAAAAACCACAATTACAATTGCAAGTTTATAGCTCTGTCGATAGATATCCTACCGCACAACAAGTTGATTTTGTATATAATAATAAAAATTTTAATTATACTCATGCAAATACTCTGTAAGTATATATTTTTTTATATTATTTATATTTATATTATTTTATATTATTGAAAACATATATAATTTTGAATTACAATTACGTATACAATTTTTTTATTTGAATATTATTATATTTTCAGCCCATTAACTTTGAATATTCCACGCAAAACACGAAACAATGGAACATTGTTTCTTCATATTATCATAGCACCAAATTCTAAGAAATATGAAAAAAATATTAATATACAAAAGGTATGTGTAAAAAATGATATAAACTTCGTTTATATATCTATTTTTTATAATAATTATTATAGGATCCATATGTATCTTCTATTACCATCAAAATGACACAATATAAAGTTCCTGAAGCAGAAGCTTTTAATTTATTGAGTGAAAAACATTCAGATTTAAAAAAAAAACAAAATTTAATAAATCCAGTAACACATATTAAGAGCCGTGTAACATTTACAATAATGACAGATGATATAAAACTTCCTATACATAATGTACCTATAGAACTTGTAAATCATTTGAAGTATGTTAATATTACTAATTTTAAATAATCATTAATATATAATAAGGATATGATAAATTTTTATTATTTCAGAATTATACAAGGCAAAACATTTTTACCTATAGTTAATTGTGACTTTTTACAAACCAGACATCACGATTTAATGAGAATCATGCCTCAAAATAATACAGTTAATATTACATTGCAATATTCTCCAATTTCTATTTCAAAGCTAAGATTGTTATTGCATGTGGAAGCTACTATGCAAAATTTAAAAAATCTTGGATTTTCTGATAAAGATATGGATGAAGTAAAAGGAATTTTTGTAGATACTAATATATATATATTGGGAGGAACTTTTCTTATTGCAGCCATTCATGTATGTAAATTAAAAAATAACTAAAATATAATTTGAAACAAAACTTAACAATATCTTACATTAAAACAGTTGCTGTTTGATTTCCTTGCTTTTAAAAATGATGTGAGTTATTGGAGAAGAAAAGATAATCTTGTAGGTCTTAGTAAATGGACTGTTGCGTGGCGAGGATTTAGTCAAACTGTCATCTTTCTTTATTTATTAGATGAAGGTTCATCTTTGCTTGTACTTATTCCTACAGGCATTGGATCTATTATTGAGGTAATGATAAAATGAAGCATTCATTAATCATTGTTTTTTATAAATATATTTTATATTTGTAATTTTATTAGATGTGGAAATTAAAGAAAGTGTTGAAACTTAGACTTAAAAGTAATAATAATAATAATTATATGGCTGAAATTAGAACAAGGGAATTTGATGCAGAAAGTATGCGTTATTTAAGTTATTTATTATATCCTCTTGTCATTGGCGGTGCAATTTATTCTTTACTTTATCAACATCACAAAAGGTATAATGTTGAAAATTATAATTTATTTTATATAATTTTTCAAATTTTTATGTACATATTTCAAATTTCAGTTGGTATTCATGGAGTATTAATTCTTTAGTAAATGGAGTTTATGCATTTGGTTTTTTGTTTATGCTTCCTCAACTTTTTGTAAATTATAAATTAAAATCTGTAGCACATTTACCATGGAAAACATTTATGTATAAAGCATTTAATACATTTATAGATGATGTTTTTGCATTTATCATTGTTACACCAACAGCACATAGAATAGCTTGTTTTAGAGATGATGCTGTTTTCCTTATTTATCTTTATCAAAGATGGTAAGTCACACATTCTTATTTAATACTATATAAATATTTTATTCAAATAAATATTCTCTTATAGGCTATATCCAGTAGATAAATCTCGTCCAGATGTCGTCACTATTGATGAAGAACCTGTTGATTTTGAAAATTTAGATTATAAAAAGACAGACTAAAATGAACTTTATATTATTTAACATTTAATATTTATATCATATAAAAAAATAAAAATTATTATTATTATTAGTCAATATTTGAATAATAATGTACATATTATAAATGCCTAAATGCAATTCATAATATTTTAGATGTAATCTTTTGTTATATATTTACACTTTTACAAAAAAATGTTGAAATATAAATATTTTTCATTATAATCTATTAAAAAGATAACAACATTATTATTAAAACATGTTAATTGTTTTTGAAAAAGAAAAATATATATATAATATATTTTAAATAAATAACCAAAAATAAAAGTACTGAATAGACCTAATATTCAATACTTTTTTTATTCCATATATTTATATAATTATTCTATCTCTGTTTTTCTCCCATTTTCTCTTTATTTATACTTATTCTGTAAAATTCATCTTAAGATAGAAGTTTAAGAAATGATTTCGATATTCTGTACGTTCGTTTGTAGATATATAGTATTAATCGCAAATATAATATTTGCAATTATTAAAAAAACACATTTAAAAAGATTACAATTTTTATTTTCTCTTGTATTGTATGTCACTTGTATTTATATAATTTAATAATGCAAGATGAGAATTGTTTAGTCGCATTAACAATGATGAATTTGTAACTGGAATAAAGAAATCTATATTGTAATGTAAAAAATCAATGATAACAAATATAATAAATACTTATTTAAGTTCTTAAATTATTATTAGAACTATACAGTAGTGACACGATTAGGATCAGCAATCATTATAGGAGTATTATTTATTGCATCACTGGCAAGACATGATAGTTGCAAATGCATGGACGTTGCTACTTTTGATAATAACATGTCGATTCGCATACAATCATCTTTGTTAATAGGTTGTGGTATTGCATCTAAAGCTTCTTCAAAAAAATTCCTGTAAATTGAAAAATAAATAAAATATTTTTCTTTTTATTCGTATAATGATAAAAAAAAATGAAA